GTCTCAGCTCCATTAGAATATTTAGACTATCTCCATCAGTAGTGCCATGTTGTGCCCCATCATGATTCTGAGTATCTCAGTTGAGAAAAAATGACCTTTATAAATGCTTAGAATAATCCTTTTTAGATTAGACTTAAAATAGAAGATTCTACCTCAGTAGATTTCATTTATGACCAGCGCAATAAGATAAAAAGCTTAAAAACTGAGTAACAGTTTTGTTTACTATAGTTAGTCAAAATGAGTCCTCCATTTCAAAGTCTATGAGTATTTTCCATCATTTGTTCAGTGTGGTCAAGAGCTTCAAAAAAATCTTGGTCAGGTCAGTTGCATGGTCAGTTCTCTCCATAAGATCTGGGCTTGGCTCATTGAGAGAACCTGATCTGTCATGAATAGAAATACCTCTCTAGGGTAGCTCTTTGTAGGAGGTGGCATGTTCCAGGCAGGTCTAACTACCACTACCACCTTGACTTGAATGAATGATTAGCCCAGGACCACAGCTGGTGAAGGACTTCAGAAAGAAAGTTCTCACCACCAAAGTCCTTGGCACCATCAAATGGTTCAGCATCAGAAAGGGATATACTTTTATCATTGGAAATAACATTACAGAAGATAAACTACCATCTGTTTTTCCATTGCATCCTAAGGAGTCAGTGGCCTCTCCGTGTGACTTGTAACTCAAACCTCTTTTTTATGTGTTTGCTCCTTAAGAGCAAAGACTCTCTTGCTTCTGTTTGTATCCTTAGTGCTTATCATATTGAGATATACTTATTAAGCAATTAATGCTTTTTCACTAATTCATTCATTGAATTGCCAAAGCAGTTGAGTTTCATAATGTAACAAAAGACTATAATCATTCTTAGAGGTTTGTAGTTTCATATTTTGTTAAAATATATTTGCTACTTATCCTTCCACTTCTGTGGTATACATATTCATTTTTAAAACATCTCATCACAAAAATGTGTCTTTTTCATTGGCCGTTTCTATACTCTGAATTTGCTCTTGCCGGCTAAGTAGGTTACTACTAATTATAAGCCTGCCTTATAAAAAACTTGTTGAAATTTCTCACTGATAAAACTTGAATGGGAAAAGGCACCTGTTTATTGTTCCTAAGTCTTTCTAGAGTAATGGTTCAGCTCCACTAAGTTTCTTATATTTGATATGCAAGGGGGAAAAAAAATCTCAACAGTAGGACTTGGGAGGGGGAGGGGAGAGAAAATATTTTAAAATTAGTTTTTCTGATAAAAGCTTAACTTTGCTTTAATCAGTGTTTATTTAATTATTGCTGTTAACATACTCCAGAAAAGATTGGATGGAAGATTTGTAAGATTTGTGATGTGAGTCTGTGCCAAGTCTGATTTGACTCTAAAGCAGTTACGTTATTAAGCATTGCTCATTGCCCCAGTGCCCATTGTGGAGATCATCCTTTAAATTCTATTGATAATTAACTACTTTATCATTCTACTGGGGACCTTTAACATGTCACTTTATTAAGCAGTAAAATCCAAGAATAAAGTATCCTTAGTACCAAAACTAACCAGACAGAGAAAAATGAAACTCCAGAGTATCATATGCATAAAAAAATGGAAATAAATGCTGAAGTTTTAATAAATATCACTGTTAGTCTCTTTATTTTAGTTGCTATTTCATCATTACTTAGAAACATTTTTACTTCTTTAACAGAAGTATAACAGTTCTACATAGAGTTATCAGAGGCATCCATCCCAACTCTGTGCTAATCATATGTTCATATTCACTTCTTCCAGTTTCTTAGAAAATTATATTATTGGAGTTGAACATTAAGACAAGAACAGAGAAGTTAAGGTGGAAGGAGTAGAATGTGAAGTTGTTCTTGATTTGGCAATGGAAGTGAATTACTGAAGGATATTTCATACTTTTTTTTTTTTTGAGAGAAAGTGCTGTAAAATATCAGTCAGGCCTTGCCCTAGAGGCAGAAGTATTCTTCTGCAAGCTTTACCTAGCTCCCTCCTCACTGTGGTACCTGGTGCTTTCTTGCTGCCTTATGGTCTTCTACCTTCAACTCTATAAACTCTGATTCACACTAAAGGGTTAAAGGACGAATGTGCTTTCCTTATGGAGGAGGGAAATCTCTTCATTAAAAATTTTTTTTTCAATTAACAGCATTTATTTTTTCTAACCACCCCCACAAAACACACACACACACACACACACACACACACACACACACACCCCAAAACAAAAGCCTTGTAACATATATGTACAGTCAAGCAAAACAAATTCTCATATTGCCCATATTCAAAAATTGGGGGTTTTGTTGGGTTTTGGGGGGTTTTTGTCTCATTCTGTATCTTGAATCTGTCACTTCCCTCTTGGGAGGCTGGGGAGCATTTTTCATCCTAGGACCTCTGGAATTGTGGTTGGTTATTGCGTTGATGAGAATTCTAGTCTTTCACATTTATTTATCTTTACAAAATGTTGCTGTTATTGTTTTTAAACTTAAAGACAAATAAAGGGAAAGAGCAATGCTTACCTCAAAGGACTGAATCTTGAAGAGAATTTCAGTTACTGTTGTGCCCGTATCATGGAAATGTTATTTAGAAACAGGATGAGGAGGGCAACTCCTTAGTACTTCTCAAATCATTTCTTATAGGCAGTTCCTTAGTCCACTTATGTGTAATACAGACTCTGCAGAAAATAATAAGGCTTTAGAATACTTTGAAAGTAGTCACAGTTGGTTTGTTTCATCTTTTCTCCTTGTGGGTAGTTGTTCTGATATATTAAGCCTATTCTCCATGGCAGGAATGTCTTTATTTCACATGTAAATCCAGTGTAGCATAGTGGAAAACACTTGGAGCTGAGAATCCTGAGGCCTGTGTCTGAGTCTGACTGCCTCGAAGCCACTGTTTGACCTTGGGCCAGATGACTGCCACCTCTCTGAGTCTCAGTTTCTACATCTATAAAATGAGGGGGTTTGACTAGATGATCTCTCCAAGGTCTTGTCCTGCTCTAGAGCTCTGCTTCTCATTGTAGTCACCTGGGTTTTGTGCCTAAAACCATGATATGGAAATTGGACATTTGTTTTTAGTAATTTGAGGGCGGAAATGGGACTTTGTTCATTTCCTCAGTGTTAGTGAATTAAATTTGCATGGATTGGTACTTATTTTTAAGTTTCCATTTTTAGCCATGTTTAAATATGTAAACAGTTAACCCTGGAATGTTTCCTAATGAATTTACTGGAATACAGAATACAAACATTCCCACCACAGTCTCTGTCCTGGGAATTGTACCATTTGGAATATATTTTGTATTTAGATATATTTTCATATAGAATATCTACATAAGTAGAATTTCAGTGAATTCCAACAAAAGGTAAACTCTTGACTAATAATACACAAAAGAAAAATAATCTCTTTAGAGCATATGGTAGAGCTGCCACCCTTCTGTGCCTACCAAGCCATGCATACCATGTTTGTGTAACAGCTGCTAGTTAGTAATGTATGTAACTTGCACTAGATCTAATAGGGTACATCCCCTGTAACCTTTTGAGGCCCAAGGAGGAAGAGTTTAGTTTTTCTATGAAGAGTGTGATTCTTTTCCTCCTGGGCTCCTACTTGCTAATGGTACAAATTCTCTCCCTCTCTCCCACCTGAAAGATGGTTTCTTTGTTGCCTTCACTGCCATCTACTTGTGCAGAGAGGTCTATGAAATAATTAATATGTGCTCCTTCCTGGGACAAACACCTTGAAGGTTTAAAGGGGAAATACATTTTTAAAAACCAGGGATATAGGGGGCAGCTAGGTGGTGCAGTGGATAGAGCACTGGCGCAGAAGTCAGGAGGACCTGAGTTCAAATCTGGTCTCAGACCAAACATTTGACACTTACTAGCTGTGTGACCCTGGGCAAGTCACTTAACCCCAATTGCCCCCCCCAAATAAATAAATAAAAATAAAAACCAGGAATATGGATAGGGAGTACACCTTTGATTTCACTAGTACAAGGAACTCCCACCACCGGTGTAGGTTCTGTGCAGCTTAAGGTTGTGGCTGCTGATGGCCCAGTTGATAGAGCCCTAGACCTGGAGTCAGGAGGACCTGAGTTCTAATGTGGCCTCTGACACTTACTAGCCATGTGGCACAAGGAAAGTCACTTCATCATTGTTTGCTTCAGTTTCCTCAGCATTAAAACGGGGATTATAATAGTACCTACTTCTCAAGGTTGTTACTAGGATGAAATGAGATAATATATATAAAAAGCACTTAGCAGACACATAGTAGGCACCATAGAAATGCTCATTCCCTTCCCCCTTTAAAGAGTTGCCTATAATACTGAGGTTAAGTGATTTGCCCAGAATCAATGAAGTTCTTAACAGATTTAATCTATTTTTTTTTGTGGGGGGCATCATCTCAATCTACTGGATCCCAACAACTACCCTGCCTCCCTAAAAATAGTTCCCAAAGAGTTCTTTTTTCTCTTATAGAGAAGAAATCTTATATACATGTGCATATATATAAAATAAATATAAATATGTATAAATTTAAAACTTCCTATATTGAGATATAAGATGAACTTTTAAAACATTTATTTAAACATACTCTAGAGACACGAAGTATTTGCATTTTTGATGGTAGTGCTGACGATATCATCACTTTTTCTTCATTCTTATAATTTTAGTTAAAGATGCTATATTATTAAAGATTTTAAAAACATTCTTTCATTAAACTGGTTTTCCTTGTAGTGACTTATTGTTTTGTCACTCTCCTTTGCTCCCCTGTACCTTTTCTTTCCTTTTACTTTCTCCCTCTTCTCCCTTCTCCCCTCCCACTTTTTTCCCTACTTCCCCTCTTTCTCCACTCCTCAGATCCCCTCTTCTCCCTCCTCTCCTTCTCTTCCCTCTCTTCTGACCCTTCTCTTAATAATTTATTCCAAAAATAAAAAAGGAAATTAAAGTCTCCGCTGAACGGAAAAATAGTGGCATTAAATACGTAGTAACTTATAACCCCCCTTCACCTTTCTAATTTCAGAGTTCTTCTGTCTCCCCATCTGCCAGTTTCAGAACTGCAGAGAAGCACAGAAACTCAACAGACTATTCATCAGACAGCAAAAAACAGAAAACTGAAGAAAAGGAAATAACAACTCGTTATGTAAGCTCATATTCACTTTGGTTGATGCTAGTCTTATTTTTCAGTGCTATAACAATAGCCACTTTTCCTTTAACTGTTTCTGCCTAAAACTAGGATTTAGGGGGCAATAAAACGTAAAAAATGAAATGCTAAGTATTTGGTATAGATTTTAGTACCATACCTAAATCCCTACTTTTCAAAGTAGGAAGTGAGTTTTTGTTTTTTTTTGTTTACTGTGTGTTTGGGTTTTGTTATTGTTATTGCCGCTGCCGGTTTGGACAAATAGTACAAGTATCTTGTGCTCTGTTTCAGATGATCACTTTATTTAAATAGGTCAGTTTTTCTTCTCCCCATGCTAGAGATATTACAGATTGATGGTTTTTTTGTGCCCAGCTGCAAATGGCAAGGGAATCTAGTAGTACTGCAATAACTGACATATGTATTTTATATAGTCACTAGAATTTAATTTCCCATCATGTTGTGTGATATATTCAGGTTATCCTCAAGAGTAATTTAGTTTTACCAAGAACTGTTCAATGCCTGATTAAGCTCACCTCACCTTGATGGGGTTGCTGAGCTTTGAAGGGGTTTAACTTAACTGTCTAAAAATATAATTCTCTTCTGAAAAACAACAACAACAAAACATCTTCCCACTTGTCATTACAGGACAGTGATGGAGAGAAGAGTGATGACAACTTGGTAGTTGATGTTTCCAACGAGGTATGTGTGCCTCTCTGATGACAACGAATGTACTTCTCTTGTTTTCTGATATACACCAGATGTACTCATGAAATAATGGGTCTTGTTATCCAGAATGTTTTCTTAACTTCTGCTGTGACCCTGTTGTTCATCTTGGGGTTCTTTTTTTTTTTTTTAACGTAATTCTTATCTTTGAAGGGGCTGTGATTTCATCGGTGTGGGAACTCCCTCAAACAATGTAGATCATAACCTCTTCATGCCTTAGGACATAGTTGAATAAGTTGCTCCAAGCTGCTCCCCCCACCTCAGTCATCACCTGATAACCAGCCTTTTAGTAATGAGCTTCTCCAGACTCATCTAAGCTGGTTCTCTGTTGACAGACAGACAGTCTGTTGCCAGGCACATTTTGAGGACTTTCCAGCCCAGGAAGGATTTGCCAAAGCGTGTTCTCCAAACTACAGTGCCAAGAACCAAGCTTCACCTCCATGCCATGATGTCAGAGTAGGACTTCAATAGAGGACTTATGGTTATTATTATCAGGAGCCCCTTAAGCTTTTTTTTTTCCCCTTTGATGTGAATTATCTTGAGTAAAACACATAGCTCATGGTCATCTTATGGAACTAATTGGTAGAATCATAGAATTTTGGTTTGATTTTTGTTTTTAAAGACCTATAATACTTTCCCTTTAGTGCAAATCTAGAATCTTTTATTTGAGCATTTTAATGGACTGGAAATGTTTTGTACCTAGCCTATTAGATTCTCTCAGATAAACTCTTTTATCCCTCCTTTCCTCCCCTTCCATCCCCCTGGACTGTAGCTTTGTGACTTCAGGTGCTGCATTAATGTCCATGTTGTTTATTTGTAGGATCCCTCTTCCCCTCGAGGGAGCCCAGCACATTCTCCAAGAGAGAATGGCCTGGACAAGACCCGTCTGCTCAAGAAAGATGCCCCAATTAGTCCAGCTTCTATTGCATCTTCCAGCAGTACTCCTTCCTCAAAATCCAAAGAACTTAGCCTTGTAAGCAGCACTTTTTTTCACTATCTTTTTCTAGAGTGTCTTATTTCAAGATGGATGAGTTTATTCCCCCTTCTCCTCTCCCCTAGTATGGCATTCAGGAAAGGGGTATGGCCAACTGCTCACTGAAAACTCCCTTTGTTCCCATTGAATAGATGGTTGATAAGACTGTAAGACCAAGGTCTTTTTGGAAGGGGGAGAATTTGTTAACCTGCAGATAGATGATGGATACATTTGTGTTGTGAGTCTTTTTGCAAGGATTGGGGTTGGGAGATGGGGAAATGGAGTGAAACATGTCATCCTGAAGATGAATAAGTATGCACTGGTGTTCCAGAGAGATTTTTGTGCGGTGGTTTATGGTAAATTCACTTTTCAGCTTGGATGTGATTTTGTTGCTAGCTTTGTTTGAATTACCAAGCTATATTCAACTGCAATAATATTCACTTCCTATCTAAAAAGTAATCTGTCACTTACAAGAGTCTACTTTGACTCCTGCCACAAATCACAATGCAAAAAAGCTGTTAGAAGTTGGGATCGTTCCCCTCCCTGCCTTCTCTTTCTTTGTGGCTGCAGCTAATCACACTTACCGTGACCAATTAATTCTCTGGAACTTACCCTTTAAGAAAATTTAGGATAAGTTTGTTTAAAAGATAACTCTCAGAGAAGAAATGAAAATTCCTCTCTTTGTCTGCAGATTGGAGGATATATCTGGTACTGGAGTGGTGTTTTTGTTCTGTTTTTTTTTCTTTGATCCATCATTGTTCTGCCCTTGTGTTGTAACCCTGTTTTAATGGAAGCTCCTCTGGGCTGAATCTTTATGACTGTATAGGCTTGGTCCCTTTCTAATGAAATCTGCTAACCGGGAAGCCTATTATTACTTGGACATATCCACTGGGAACCAGGCTTAAACCACTTACTCTTTTAAATATAAGCCATCAGCAAGGAGTCAGTCACAGTCAGGTAGCAATGATTTTTGAGTCACAGTCAGCCCCTGCCTGATTCAGACCCGTTACCTAGAAAGGAATGACTCTAGCCTGCTGCTGATTCTAGCTTTTCAGTCATCCCCTTCCATCCTCTCCTATGTGCTGACTCCATTGCCTTGAGAAACTTTTTTTAATGGGCAAGCAAGGCATAATTTTTTAGTTTTGGTTTTAGTTTTTTCATCTGACATAATTTCGATTGTTCTATACTATTGTTCATTAACACAGTAATTCTTTATAGGTCGTTTTAGAAGGAAAATAAATGCCTTTGATTTTTGTCTCTGTTAGAATGAAAAATCTACTACTCCTGTTTCAAAATCCAACACTCCCACTCCACGAACTGATGCTCCGACCCCAGGCAGTAACTCTACTCCAGGATTGAGGCCTGTGCCTGGAAAACCACCAGGTGTTGACCCATTAGGTTTGTAAACAAAATCAAATGAAAACTCCAAACTACTCAGTGTCTGCTCTCTGAATATATTTCTCTTTTGTCTGTTACAGCTTTCTTCTTAAGAGTATTGATGAACTTGCATGTGATATTTTGCTAGACAAAGGGGAGTATTATAAAACAGTTTGAATGGAACCTTTTGAAGCATTGAGTGACTTTTCAAAGCATTAAAACAAATTGGTTTCTAGTATGGATGTTATTATTATTGTTAGTGTCATTATGATTCTATTTGAGTGTCATTATGATTCTATTTGAGAACGCTTTTTTCTTCTGTTCTTTTTCTCCCACCTCCATTTTTCCTCTAGCTTCAGGCCTCAGAACCCCTATGGCAGTCCCATGTCCATATCCAGCTCCATTTGGAATTGTTCCACACGCTGGGATGAATGGGGAGCTGACCAGTCCAGGAGCTGCATATGCTGGGCTACATAACATCTCCCCTCAGATGAGTGCAGCTGCAGCTGCTGCAGCTGCTGCCGCCGCCTATGGAAGATCTCCTGTGGTATGTTTCTGGGGTTTTGTTCTTTAGAAAAGTCGTGATAGCACACAGAGAATCCTCACATTGTCTCTTGTGGATGGGGTGGTATGAAGAATTTATGCAGCATTAGGAGTGTTAATAGAGGCAGTCGTGTGTCTTCATAAAATTCAGCTACATGAAACTGAAGCCCTCTCTTTTTTTGTCTAGACATAATTCCATTGTGAAGGGACATACTTCCTTTTCAGTTTGAAAGTTAAAACCAGTACAAGCTCCACCATGTTCAGTTCAGTAAGTGGTGTCCACATGGCTTATGTGTGTTTTTGTTCTTCTGCTTGGGGAAAACTGTAGGTTGGTTTTGATCCACACCATCACATGCGTGTGCCCGATTCCGCCAAACCTGACCGGCATCCCTGGAGGAAAACCGTGAGTATTGATCTGCCATTGCATTAAACGAATTGCTTGCTCAAGTCATTCGTCTTTGCTGTTTAGTTCCCTCTTAGCCACCCGATGCTACTGCACCATAGCAGCTGTTTTGGAGCTGGGGGATAGTTGGTGGGGCTTGCGAGGCTTGAGTTTTGTCCTCAAAGTATTTCTCATTTGTTAGTAGTACAGGAAGGAGGTAATGGGGCAGGGTTTTGTATTTTCAATTTGAAACCTTGAGCTTCCAGTATCAAAATGCAAATTGCAAAGGGATCTGTAGCAATCATGTCTTCTCTACTCCAGTTGCTGGTTTAAAGGCAGTTCCTTTGTTCACAAAAGTCCAGTTATTTCTTGCGAACACACTCAGTGCTCATAGCACACTTAGTGCTCAAACACACGGAAATGTTTGGTCAGCTTCAAAACTCAGAAAAACATCCTGGTGGCATTTTACTTCCATCTCTTCCCAGTATGACTGACCAGATATGGTGATGAGTGCTCAGGACTTCTCTGACTGTGAACCTGGCACTTGGGAGTCATTTTCTTCAGGGCCCTCCTGAGTTGCAAAAGGTAGCATGTAATTCAGGCCTTGGTGTTAGCCCTTATTTTCTGCTATACTACATGAAGTCCATTCCCTTCATTTTGGCCTAGGATGCTTTGTTGTCACTCCCTGAACTTAGTATTCCTTGCCTACTCTTTGATTAGACTGCTCTAGATGTATACAATAAGCAGGCATGCACCCCATCCATCACAGTTAATGATAAAAAACAATAATAGCTCACATACAGCACTTGAAAGTCCGCAAAGCATTTTACATATGGTAGGTGTTGTTATCTCCATTTTATGTGCTTTGCACATAATAGGCAAAAAATTATAAATTTCCCTGGGGATTATTGGTTTATTATTGGCATTATTTATTTGATTTATTATTGTATTATTATTGTATTATTTTTATTATGGTTAATTTGGGTTATTATTTAATTGTATTATTTGTTTATTATTGGATTGTTGTCAGCAGTATTCAGTAACTCCTGAGGAACTGACATGTCCCTGTCTCTCTTTTTTGAAGCTGATGGTATGGTCTCATTTAGAACCTGACCTGCTTACCTTAACTCTTGGCAACTTTCATTCAATCATTTATCACGTTTTTTATTTGCTTATTATACGCAAAGCATTGTGCTTAACACTAAGGGAAATGTGAGGGTAAATATGAAACATCTGAGGCCTCAAAGTTCTTGCGATTGAAGTAGAAAATACTAATGTTCTTTCTAGTAATCTACTCTGTACCATATCGCCGCCCTTCCTTAGCTATTTAACAGCATGATCCCAACATCCTCCCTATTCACATTCTTCACATTCTCCACTTCCTTTAAGGTGTCATAGTTCATAGTTGGATGGGGTTGGGTAGTTTTGGTTCCAGGCATTTTGCTGTATTCATTTTATTTGTTGGCTGTCAAATTTTGAACCTAAAGTTCTGTTCTCAGCGCTCGCTCGCTCTCTCTCGCTCTCACTCTCTCTCTTTCTCTCTCTTTCTCTCTCTGTCTCTGTCTGTCTGTCTGTCTGTCTCTCTTTCTCTCTCTCTCTCTCTCTCTCTCTCTCTCTCTCTCTCTCTCTCTCTCTCTCTCTCTTTCTCTCTCCCCCCCCATCTCTTTTCATTTTTCATGACCTCACAGCCATCATCTCCATTTAGATGACACCTAAATGTCTGTCTCCAGCCTTTTTCTGAACTTTGGACCTCTCAGTGGTTGATAGGACATCTCTATCTTTCCCATTAGTATTTCAAACTCTGTTCATCTAAAACCAAGCTTATTGTATGTGTCCCTACCGCCTTCCGCCGCCCATCCTTCACCCCAAACCTATGCTTCCTTCTGACTTTGCTATTTCTGTCATGGATAGCATTGACCTGGACTACCAAATTAAAAACCTTGGTATTTCTACTTTGAATGATCCTTTCATATCTTGTCATCTCCAGTCACTTACTGTATCCTGTAGAATACACCTCTTAAAAATCTTTCCTATCTGGTCCCTTCTTTATCTTCCTCCTGTCATCACTATACAAGATGGTATTATTTCTACATTGTGTGGTTGTGTCATTCCTGTGCTCTGAAGACCTTTAGTAGCTCCCTTTTGCCTGCCAAGTAAATTTCAGATTCCTTTGAATGACTTTCAATGACCTCCACAATCTGGTACCACCCTACATTTCCAGCCTTTTCTCGTACTCTCCTCTTAATGTGTTCTGCACTTTAGACAAACGGGATTTATCTTTTCCTCTCATCCTTTCCTCTTACCTTTCTGCCCCAGTAAAAGGAAAGTGAAAAAAATGCTGTGGGCATTTTCTCTTCCATGCATTGCTCGCTCTATTACTTATGCCTCGTATTTCTGCTTCTCCCATCTTTCCCTCATGAATATCTACCCATTCTTTAAAATCTAGTTCAAATACCACTTCCTTTATGGACCCCTCTTCAATTGCCCTTGTTGATAATGACCTTTCCCTTCAGACCTTTCATAGCACTTTGTTGGGGGGTTTTTTAAAACCATTCTAAATTATTCAGTTATGGAAGAGTATGTGTGTTTATGCCTCTTGATTAAATTTTGAGCTGTATGAGGACAAGGCCTATTTCTTTCTCTTCTCCATGACCTACTCATTATACTCTGCATACAGTAGATGATTAATAAATGTTTATTGAACTAAGCATTTTCATATAATTGCTTTGGCCTATTGTGTACATATTTATCTTAACTATATTGGACTTTTTAGACTATAAATTTTACCTCCTAGATTATAACATAATAGTAAATGTGAAACCCTAAAAATCTTTGTCTCTTATAGTTATTTCATGACCTGAATTACATTAAATATGTTAGGATGTAAAATTCACTAAGTCGTAAACCTAACGTTTCTCACCAAAAAGCCCCTCCCCCTGCCAAGAACTGTCTTTCTCAATGAAGCTGTATAATTGTTGTGCATCTCTGACCTAATTACTTTTACAAAATGAACTGCCAGATATTATCTGGAATTATAATTAAATGCATGTACCAAACTAATGAACAAAGTAGCATTTATTTGATAATCCACATTGGGGCTGCTTGCTATTTGGTAGAATTAGCAAAGTCCTACTCAATTTATAATTGGAATGACAATATAGTTTAATTTCTACACAAAGAAAAATGAACTTTCCCTCTATTTTACTGATGGAACTTCTGAATAGTGTTACCATATTTGATTTAACATATTACAAAAGAATAAGATATGGCCAAATTCTGATCCAAGGGAGAAAAAACAAAATAAAACTGCTGTTTCAATATAGAAAGTGACTAAAGAGAAATGAAGATATAACAAATAAAATAAAGATCTTGAAGTCATAGTACAGAGCTAATCACAATATAGTAATAAACCTTGGATTTTTCTTTTTAAAAGCAAGATTCTAGGACAAATAGGCATATGAGATAATCCTCCCATTACACTTTACATTACTATAGACTTTTATAGAAAATATCATATCTAAATTGGGGTTCCACAATTTAAATTGGGGTACAGAGAGCTAAGGAAAGAAATAAAGAAGACTGATAAGATGATTAGTTGGAATAGTGAGAAAGGTTTCAAAGAAATGGAGAGAAGAAAGGTTATTTTTAATAGTGGCCTTTAAGTGTAAGTATGTACAAGGTCAGAATACAAAAGGTGGTGAAAATATTAAAATAACATTATCATAGTACATTAGCCATTTTGGCACATATGTTTTTTTTTTTCCTATCCTTATGTTAATCCTGTAAAGTAGATTAGATCCATTTTGTAGACAAAAGAAAATTGAGACAGAGAAATTAAATGACTTTACCACAGCAACATATAACAGCTGACAAATCTTGTCTGTATAGCTATGTCTCCTATCTCTAGGCTGGTGCTTTCTACTGTATCATCCTCACTCTTTCTTAATTATCTCTGCAGAGGGCAAAAAAAAGGCTTAAGATAGAGTAAAAATAATTAAAGGTTAGATCACCAAACACATTTCTTAACAATTATAGTTTGTTTTTTGGTTTTTGGGTTTTTTTGTCCTGTCTGTCTTCGAATACAGTCCTGGCAGTGAACTCTGTGTATCTGTCACTTGAGATTGAGCCAACATTCAGAAATACTCATTGCCATCACCACTAGGGTAATATGTTATAATGGCCTAAGCAACTCACGAAGATGTTTCTTAAAGACATTGAAGGTTTTCATTCTTAAGCAATAGAGGGAAGAGTCTCAAAGATAAAGTTGCAGATCTTTAAGTTTTCCAGTGTGGCTGTTACACACTTCAGAGGAGCTATTTTGAGAGGTTGTAGAATCTCCTTTTTTGAATGTCCATAAAAACATAATAGATTTATAATGGATAGGGTGCTATTATTTTATTAAAATTAATAACATTTTGTTTTGACACATCATTCACTCCCAGATAAACAGTCTTTATCACCTCAGTACTCCAAAAATTAGCACCTGACCATTTAAAAAGTTAAGCAAAACGATCTAAAACAGTGACAGTTGACAATGAGTGTAACTTTCTGCTCATATTATATATTATTAACAGAAGGGAAAGAAGTGTCAATTTTCATCAGAAACCAAAATTGGTCATTGTATTTAGCCCAGATGGGCTTTTGCATGAAGTCGGGTAGATAAACTAGGTGACTTTTTAACATCTCCAGGTTTCCCTTGATATTATGCTGGATCCAAGAATGAATCATCTCCTCCCTACACATGCAGATTACAGCTCATATTTGCCTCTTCTTATCCTGTACAATTTTCATCCTTCCCTTTCTTCAAGTCTTCCATACAGGTCACTCCAATACAGTCCTGTTTAAAAAAAATATCTTTTGGGAGATATCTGTGCAAGCAGCGTTCATGCCATTTACTGGCTATAGTTTCTTACAGATAGGAACAGGTTCCTATGGCTTTCCAGAAAGGTTGGCTTCCATTAGAATGCTTTAGAGAGTCAGTGCGAGTGGTCTGGGAATCCAGAAGACCTGTGTTCAAATCCTACCTCAGACACTATTTCTCTGTGTGTCAAATGTGGATAACAATAGCACCTACCTCCCAGCATTGTTGTGAGTATCAAGTGAAATAATTATGTAAAACATTTTGTATACCTTAGAGTGCCTCCTAAATGTTAACTGTTCCCATTATTATTACTATATACTACATAGAGTTCATTGAAATCTGAAAATTCACTTTATTATTTTTTAAAATATAAACTGTCTTGAGTATTCCTTAAGTATACTTGAAGCTGTCAGGAAGTGATTTTATGTTATTAAACCTGGCAAGCAGAAAATGGGTATGATTTGGTTATAAGGTAAGATGAACCCTGAAGTTGAGTGTCGGGTTTGTCAGGTCACACACATACTGTATTTGACGGATATTTTGTTCATAATTATTTACCTACTCAAATCTCAAGGTAATGTTTTATTGGGTGAGAGGCTTGTAAATTTGTTCAAATAAATTTTTATTAAAAATTAAGTAAACATCCTAAACTGGGGGGGAGGGGGAATTTCCTCCTGATTTTTGAAACTTAGTCTAAAAACTATTTTTTTTTAAGGCTTTCCAGTAAGATGTAACTGCTACCCAACAAATAACAATGAAGCCAGTTAATTCCTCTTTTTTTTTTTCTTTTTGGACATTTCAGAATCTAGAGACCTGGGTTTTAATTCTTCCTCTGCTTAGCTTTGTGCTGCTGGCTAATTCACTTAACCCCCATAGACCTCAGTTTTCTTATCTATAATATGAAGTGATTGGATTAGATGATCTAATCTAAATAATATGAAATTTAAATAGAGATACAGCAATCAAAAGGCATTTATTAAATATCTGCTATAGGCTGTGCTAGGTTCTGGGAACAGAGACAAATGAGAGTCCTTGTCCTCTAGGAACATACACTCTATTGAAAAATATAACATATACATAATTAAATATATCCAAGGTAAAGTTATGGAGGGACACTAGCTGCTGGGGAGGGGGTGGTGGGGAAATGTTTTCATATTCCCTTGGTGGGGACAGGGGGAGTGCAGTGTACTTTTCTTGAAGGAAACAAAGGATTCCTGAAGGCTAAGGGGAGGAGGGTGTACCTTCCCTGCTTGGGTGACAGCTAGTGAAAAGCCCAGAGACCGGAGATAAAGAGTATGAGAGGAACTTCAAAAAAGGCACAGGTTTGGCTGGACCACAGGGTGTGGGAAAAGGATTATGTATAATAGGGTTGGAAAGGTAAATTGGGGCCAAGTGATAAAGGGCTTTAAATGCCAAACCAGCAGGCTTCTATTAAATCCTAGAAACAATAGGTAACTATTGCAGTTTGAGTAAGAGAGTGACCTAGTCAGACATGCACAATATGAAAATCACTTTGGTAGCTCTTTGGGGTATGGTTTGCTATTACTGCAGTGCATGGGAAAGGTGATAAGGGCCTGATGCAGGTGACATCTGTGCAAGTACAGAGAGAAGTGGTTGGCTGTAAGAGGTGTTGTATAGATTCCTTGGGCAGTCTGGTGAAGCTAAGGGATCCCTTCTTAAGACATTTTAAATGCATAAAATAAAATACATAGGGTTATAAATAAGCTAAGTATCTTGAAATAGTTATTAAAATATACATATTTTTAAAATTTACACACCTCAGGTTGAGGACCTTTGTTATAGATGTAGAAATTACAAGATCTGGCAACTGTTTGAATAGTGATGATGATCTAGCAAAAGGAGACTGAGCAAAAGTCATACAAGTAAGAGAAAAGAGTGACACAAAAACCCAGAGAAAGAGAGAGTGAGAGTGTCCAGGAATATGCTGTGGACACTGTTCAGCTTTGTCAAGTAATGCAAAGAGGTCAAGAAGAATGAGCACTGAAAAAAATCCAGTGGATTTCTCAGTAAAGAGATCATTGGTAGCACTGGAGAAAGAAGTTTCAGTTGACTGAAGCCAGATCGTAGAGGTTTGAGAAGTAAATGAGAGGGAAGGAATTGTAGATAGTATAGACAATTTTTTTTTAAAATAAATTTTGCTTTGGAAAGGAAGAGATATTGAATGTTAGCTTTAAGGGCCTTTTGAGCTGCCTTTTTTTTTTTTAAACCAGGTTGGGGAAAGTTTGGCGTTTTTATAGGCCTCAGAGGAATAACAGTAGATTGAAGACTAAAGAGAGAAGGAATAACTTGAGTAAGCTACTGGGAAAGATAGAAAGGGAGGAGATAAAGTATTGCATGTAGAAGGGTATTGTCCTTTGTTCAGAAAAGGATCATTTCTTTATCAGAGACTGGAGTAAAGGAGGAGGGAATGAGGGTTGATATCGAGGGGTTTTGAGATATTGAAAAGGAGACAAGGGAGAGCTCATAGCAGATAATCTCTATTTTCTCAGTAAATTATGAGGTAAGGTGAATTCCTACACTGTGCTTCACCCAGGGAGGATCATTCAGCTGGCCTTCCTAGGTCTATTGTTTTACAAAGATTGAGTCTCAGTTACCTAGGCTAGTTCTCTCTTGATTTCATAATCGGCTCTTTTCGCTGCTGCCAGAGTTTTTGCTTCCTGAGGCTACTTGCTGCCTTGAATCTTAACTGCCTTTCTGTGTCTGTGTCCATCTGGGGAGTGTGTGTTTTTGTTCCCTTCCTTGAGCTGCTTAACTCTCTGAAATGCTTCTTACTGGATACAGTGTCTCCTTGTGGGCATGTTGTTAGGTGCCTTGACTGATGGAGAAAGTAGAGAAAATTCCCTCTCTCCCACTAACTCCGGCACAAGCCCAACCACAGAGTACCTCTGTACCTCTTGCCTCAAATCCTCACTCTAATAAGAACAGGTAAATGTGCCTTCAGGACTAGACATAGTAAGGGAAAGAGAAGTAAAAGATCATCCTGACAGCATGAAGAGTGGAATCCTGGACCAATCAAGAACTACCTCTTTAGAAACCAGTAAAGAGCCTATGACCTGTGAATGGTGTCAATCACAATTAATGTTAAAGAATGGTCTAATTCTTAACCTTAACCAATAGGGCTGGTGCCTTATATGAGCTAAGGTACTAGAAAACAACCATCTGCAGTATTTGTGATCATATTTTTTTGTGCATGATAAAGTAAACAAGGGTGTTAAGTATGGTAAGGGCTGAATATTAGACTGTTATGTTACCAGTGGTCATGAGCCTCATCAGCTAGTTGGTAAAGAAGGACGCCTGCTCTGATATTCTTTCTCATTGACCCTTTCATCCAGCAAAGATTTAGCAGCTTCATAAATAAAGTGCACTCCATTGATTGACCCACCCAGGGTGGCTTCACTCCCATGCTCTCTATACCCATCTTGGTTCACCCCATCACCCTCCTGCTTGTTTGCCCTTTGAGTTTTCCTTCTGCCCTCCAGGAATGTGAAATTAGTCCCAGTCACTTTCTTCACTACCTTTGCTTGTCTCTGCCTTTAGTGTCCTAAAAATAGAGACAGATTCTGTTGCAGGAGATGCTGTATGTTAAGTCACATATTCGAGCCAAACACTTTCCCAACCTGAGGGTTTTCCCTGGAAATGAATTTGAGATGAAGCTGTTGATAGGTTATTCACAGGTGGGCCTTCTTGCCAGTCACGCAGTGCATTCTTTCTGAGAACTCAGATTCCATTTGGTATTACTGGGATTTGTGATTGTCATGTCAGGTCAAGGTGGGGGAAAGTCCCATTTTTTACTCATCTGCCATTTTACCAGGGGGCTCTGGAGAATCTTAACTCCTTGGTTCCTGGTCATTTTGTACCTGTTACTCTTTATTAGCCAGTCAGTTGGAAATGCATGATTGACATGATGAGATAATAACGAAAATCTAAGCAGTTGGGCTCTGAATCACACGTAGCTTTTTGATTTGTAGATTATACTGAACATTTCATTTCTCATTTCTCATCTTAGTTCAGCACAAGGAACAAACAATTCAGTAAATTTTCTTTCATTTCTATTCTTCTTTTCTTTAGAGCATATTCCTTTCACGTTAGTGCAGATGGTCAGATGCAGCCCGTCCCTTTTCCCCCCGATGCCCTTATCGGACCTGGAATCCCTCGACATGCTCGTCAGATCAACACCCTTAATCATGGAGAAGTGGTGTGTGCAGTTACTATCAGCAACCCCACGAGACACGTGTACACTGGTGGGAAGGGATGCGTCAAAGTCTGGGACATCAGCCACCCAGGAAATAAGAGTCCAGTCTCTCAGCTGGACTGCCTGGTAAGCAGTTAGTAATGAGTAAAACTCTAATGCCTTTGAAATAAATGAGTTTACAAATTTTTTTAAAATGATTGTTAAAAATTGTCTTTACATGTAACTGGGGAAAAATTGTTTTTTTAAATCGAGTTTGAGGAAGTGATTTTAGTTGAGTAAATTATATGTATTAGTGAAGCAACATGAAAGTCATCAAAAGATACAATGAGTTTGGGGTCATTACTGTTCCTTAATTTTTACTCTCTTAATATTGGAAAAACTGATCATTGGCTTTGTTTCTATCTTATTTGGCAAAAATTCCCTTTACTTTGTTTATGATTCATGCAGTTGCATAGTTCTACCATCTATATGTGTGCATGTCTGTGCATGTGTACCTACAGCTATATGCATACATAAACAAATACTCAGAAATCTAAATCGCTTGCCTCCTTTCATCTTTTGACCAGAGTAGATAGAGGAAAGTTAAACAAGCAGAATGCAAAGAACAGGACCAGTGAGGGTACTTTGAAACACCAAGCCCATCACCTGAGTACAGTAGCCAGATGGCAACACTGTATTGTAGTCTTGCCATTTGACAGTAACTTTTAACTCCTGATTGAAACCCCATTAGTTTTTCTCTCATTGACATTTGGTTAAAACTTGCCCTAAAGTTATTTTGGGAGCAGGTATTTTTCCTCTCTCAAGAACTATAAATCCTGCTGGGCAAAACTTTTTCCCCTCTGTCTTAGCCGTCCTTGATAAGGTCTCACCTCCTGTTGATGTAAGTGCTGCTTAATCAAAACCAGTACAGCATATTTAGGCAGGTAACAATTCTGTGGAAATGAATATTTCCAATTGTCTGTAACCCCTGCTACCTTTGCTGGCTGAAAGAAATAAGCAGGTCTTTTTTAGACTCGGGCGTGATAGAACATGATTTTCTGTTTTTTCTGTTTTGGGTTTTTACAGATCATAGGTATGTGTGCACATGTACATGTTGGTGTGCATGAATAACTTATATGAGTTTGTGAGTTGTTGAATATGTAAAGCTTTTAATTGTTCAGGGTTTAGTCTAGATCTTGGCTTTTTGATGCTAATTAAGATTAAATATCTCTCAGTACTAAATTCTGTAGATCAAGTTTAAGTACTTCCCTAATGTCATGTAATTTTCTGGCATTAATCCACTTTATCATTGTCATAAGTATAAATGGCTCATTAAAACCAGGAGGGAATACAATACTTTTATGGATCTCTGCTCTCATGTTAATGCTGTTTTCCTTTCCTCATGAGTAATCTCTTGATGGTTTCTGTCTCCACAGAACAGAGATAACTACATCCGTTCCTGCAGATTGCTCCCTGACGGCCGCACCCTGATTGTAGGAGGGGAAGCTAGTACATTATCCATTTGGGACCTGGCAGCTCCGACCCCACGCATCAAAGCTGAGCTGACATCCTCGGCTCCCGCCTGCTACGCCCTGGCGATCAGCCCTGATTCCAAGGTCTGCTTCTCCTGCTGCAGTGACGGGAACATCGCAGTGTGGGATCTGCACAATCAGACATTGGTCAGGTGGGTCAGCAGGATCTGATTACCAACAAGGGAAGAGCTCATTTAGCCCTTGTGGGCCCTGGTTCTTTCTTAATGCTTTGTATGTACAAATGGACGAATGATGGATATAATAACAGTAACAGTAATACCAGTGCCTAACCCTGTGACACTGAGGACTTGTAAATATTTTTATCCGTGTTTTACAGCTGCAGAAACTGTGACTTGGGTTGAATGATCTGCCCAAGGTCACTCGGCTAGGAAAAATGTCAAGGCAGGGACTTGATCCCAGATCTCCAAGTGTGCTTTCCTCTCTACCTTGCTGCCCCTCCCCTGTGACTAGAAGAGGTCTGGAGTGTCACCATTAGCAGTCCAGAAGAAAAGAAGCATCTAATTCCATCAACTCTTTGTGCTTTATAAAACCAGATATTTTGGTTCTCCATTTCATTCCTATAAAATGTAGGACGAAAAGTGAAGTCATGTCGATGCTAATATTTTGCTAAGTTTCCTATAACTTGTGATCTCTCTGGATATCCTTTAAGTATAGCATGGTGGTTAGTTCATTGGACTCAGGCCCAGAAATACCTGGGTTCAGACTGTGCCTCAGATACTTTCTGGGGCATGATCCTGTGTTAACCAATGGGAGCCAATACTGCCATGACCACCGTCACTCTGTGTTAGTGAGAACCCACAGGATATGTGGCACTGTGCTGGGTGCCGTGGTGTTTCGATGCTTTTGATTGGTTTTGATCCTATCCTGAAATAGCTTATGATCCAGTGGAGCCAGCAGTGGAGGGGAAGGAACTTCACTCATCTGCAATTATAATTTTAAAATAAATGAAAAATCGGTTCACATATTTAGAGGCAGAAGAGATCTTAGAGATCATCTAATCTAGCCTCCCAGTTTTTCTAGATGAGGAAACTGAGGCCCAGATGTGTTGAGTGACATAACCAAGGCTGTATGGTAATAAAATTGGGATCTGAACTCACATCCCCTAATTTCACATACAGTGTTTTTTTTTTTCCCATGGTACTATGCTGTGAAAAGGTTAATGCATAGGTCCAGCAGCTAAGAGAGGAGAGGGTAAAAGTGATGGTGACAAGGGGAGTAATTATTGCCAAACTCAGATAAAAGGTAATCTGAGTAGAAGCCTTTGGAGGTAGCCTTGAGGAGCTTATTTGGAACCAGTTTATATGTAATGTTATTAATTGGAGCAAAATAACTACAAGTGCATGACAATTACCTTTCTTTTCCCCTTGGCACATTGCACTCAGTTGAACTGTTCAGTTCAACGCCGCTGTTGTCTTCGTTCCACTGGTGTTCTCTACTGTAGTCTTTGCTGGTTGGAAGGAAGGCGAGAGAAAATAATGGGGCGGGCTGTAGCGTGCTTTGTGCTGGTTGTTGTCAGGTGCTCTCTTTAGATAAGCGTGGCCTTTCTGGCTAGATCCGCTCTGAGCTTCTCTGCCTGACACTCATACCACTGATTTTTGAGCCTTTTGGAATTACACAATCAGACAACAGAGAGCACAGTATCTCTCCTTGGCAGACTGTCCATTTCTGGAGGGGAAAATTAGCCTTGCATCCCCTCACACACCATTTGTGCCAAGTTATGGGGAGAGAATAGAGTTTATTGTGTTTTAATATTCGTACAGATCATCTGAACGTAGATGTGAATTTTCTTTTGTTTTTTTCATTCCATTCAAAGATAATTTTCTCTTTGTTAGTTTTCAAAAGCCACCGAGGTCTTGGAAAATAACCAAGTGAAATAGGAAATTCTGTACCTATTATTTTTGCCATTTATTGAAGTTTGGAGCAAACTTATGTTTTTAAATATGTAATTATTATTAAGTAATAACATGGCTAAGGAAGCAAAGCTAGCTTTTGACATAAAACACTCCATTGAGTTCATCTTGAAGCTGCCTCATTGTCAAAGTCTCTTTCCTCCTCTCCCCTGCCCCCACTTTTTGACATTTTCAGGCAATTCCAAGGCCACACAGACGGAGCCAGCTGTATTGACATTTCGAATGATGGCACCAAGCTCTGGACAGGAGGTTTGGACAATACAGTCAGGTCCTGGGACCTGAGAGAAGGGAGGCAGTTACAGCAACATGACTTCACATCGCAGGTAGATATCTCAAAGCTTTTGACATTTTAGAAATTGTGGTTTTTCTATAAAATGCGTGACATTTTAAAAGGCAGAAATGAAGGCGAGTTCCAGAGTCATCATTCATTGTGCATGGTTTGTTAATTTGGGGTTCTGAATTAGCTAGTTACTAATAGGGGCTCACATTTTTTTCAAGTCTTATTCAAGGTTGTTTGGCGTTAGGCAGTTTTTGTTGTTAGTTTTGAAGAGCATTACTGTATAAATTTTCTGTCAATTAAAGTTATAGACTAGATTGATAGAATACATTATAAAGATTATGTTCCAAATACACATTCATTTGGGGATTTATTTTTTTCTCTTATTTAATTAGTCTTGATTTTTCTCATAATTGGAGTGGCATATCTGCAAGAGATTAGGTTATCTTTTTAGGTTAAAATTAAAGTAGCCAAAGTCAGTCACCTGATTTTTTTTTTATTCTATGTACTATTTTAATATTAGATCTTCTCTCTGGGATATTGTCCCACTGGAGAATGGCTTGCAGTTGGGATGGAGAACAGTAATGTAGAGGTGCTACACGTTACCAAACCAGACAAATACCAGTTACATCTTCATGAGAGCTGCGTGTTGTCACTTAAGTTTGCTCACTGTGGTAAGCAGGCTTCCGTGCTTTGTCATTTTTTTTTCTGGCCAGATGGGGAGGCAGGGGTGGGATAGTTCTTTGTTTACTTCTTTTAAGCTTAACCTGTGGATGTATGAAATGGATTCTCTTGTTTGAATTTGGATGTGACTATATTCACTTCTCTCTGCCTTTAACTTTGTGGGTTTTCTCTGTTTGAGGTGAAAGGAATTTTTATTCAGTTTGTTTGTAAATTAGATGACTTTTATATGAATAATTCTTATTTCTGAGTGAATTTTTCTGTTCTTTTTTGGTGAACTTGAAATCTGACTCTGAGGCATTGACTCTGATGTTTTAAATGATCTGATTGTAGGAAAATGGTTTGTAAGCACTGGAAAGGATAATCTGCTCAATGCGTGGAGAACCCCTTATGGGGCTAGTATATTCCAGGTATTTCATGATGCTTCACTCCTTTTTTTTTTTCTTTAACGCATTAGGGATGGAATTGTATGAAGATATCTGATATGTTTTTTTATTAATCACTGAGTTCATTAACTTCTAAGGTTGTCTTTAAAGGTCTGACTACTGCATGAAGTTGGAGTGATATTGTCCCATTTAAAACATTAGTAATTGATGTGAAGAATTATAGTGGTATAATTATAGTTGTCTCATGCTGTGCATATTATAGGAGGTGCTTAATAAATATTTACTATTTAATTGCTGAAATATCTATATCCTCTTTGATTGTGACCCTGGACAAGTCATTTAACTTTATAATATTCTAGCCAATTATCTAAAACTATAAATTGCAGAGAGAGAATTAACCTTCAGTAATAACAGGGAGTTTCTTCATTGAGGAATCACTGATATCTATGAAATTCCAAGTCCAGTTCTGTTCAAGTCCTCTTGACTACAGTCGGAAAATCTCTATTTCCTGTGAATCACCTGTAGTAGAGTCAGTTTGGCATAGTTAAAAAGGTAGACTTGAGAGAGTTAGATATGAGTGTGCTAGAACACCACATGTGTGTGTATGTGTGTGTGTATACATATAGTCTTGGACAAGTGATTTAGCCCCTCTGAGCCTCAGTTTCCTTATCTCTAAAGTAGGGATAATATTTATCTCCCCTCTTTGTGTTGAGGAATTATCATCATCATCATCATCATTATTATTTAGAGATAGGAACTAGACTTGAGTTACCAATGTAGAGAACTCCTCCATGGAGAAACTCCCTCTGTCAGTACAGGTTACCACCTTCTCTGAAGTTTATGATCTTAGACCATTGCATAGAGTATTGAGCAAGGCTAAGCAGCTTCCCCAGGGTCACACAGCCAAGTATGAGTTGAAGCTTGACTTAAACCTGTGTCATCCTGGCTCTGAGACTGGCTCTTTTATCCACTGTACAAAACTTAGTATGATATATAGAAGGCACAAGTTGTAAAAGTGAAGTAAACATGCACATGAGAGAGAGAGAGAGAGAGAGAGTGTGTGTGTGTGTGTGTGTGTGTGTGTGTGTGTGTGTGTGTGTGTGTGAGAGAGAGAGAGAGAGAGAGAGAGAGAGAGAGATCAAATTTTAGGGTTTTAAAAAAAGAAACATTACATTTCTTCATTATGTTTTTCGGTTATCCTTTAAAATGGGAGGCGATAATATTTTTACTTTTACTCATTTTAAAGCTTATAACTTTACTGTTTCTTGAGTATTTATATTTCTTTTTATATGTTCTTTCCTAGTCCAAAGAATCCTCATCAGTGCTTAGTTGTGACATCTCTGTGGATGATAAGTATATTGTCACTGGCTCTGGGGACAAGAAGGCAACAGTCTATGAAGTTATTTATTGAGGACAAATCTTAATGCAAACCGGACTCCTCCTTGTAGCACTTTGCTGTATAATCCTTTTTTTTTCTTCCCAAGCCAAGGATTTAAAATGTTCCTCACAGTTGTGGAGTTGATTCCCTCCCCTCCCCCCACTTCCTCCTTGCTATTGAATTGTGAATGCTCATTAAGAACCTGTGATACCAAATCTTGAAATATCTACTTGGAAGAACTCGGAATAAGCATACTTAACAGTGAACTGAATCTTTAATTATGTATTATATCTGTAATATATTTATTTTGTTTAAAGAAGGCTTTCTAACAATGAACTGACTAAATAAAGCTGTCTGCTCCCGCCTTGGTAATAAAGGTGCGTTGTACTTTGATATCCCCTTTTTCGTTTGGCAGGGGAGGGCAAAAGAACATTTAAAATGACCAGTTAGTAACTGTTGTAAGCATAGACTGGTAGCTATACAAAGACATTGAATGTTTAATATCAACAGGAAGCAATATGCTGCTTCTTTTTTTTTTTTTTAAACAAATTTTGGAAATTTGATTAAATAAAGAGAAATTTCTAACTGATGCCATATGCATTTTGGTTAATTTGGAAAGTTAAGCTTCTAGCTGTCTCAGTTAAATATACTCAAAGAATGCTACCCTCTTAGATACCTGAAGGTGTAGGAACCACTTCAGAACTGGTTGCTGTTTTTAGAACTTTCCTTTTAATTAGTTTTATTGACCAGGCAATGGTCACTATATAACTTTTTTTTAAATTTTTTTTTTTTGTATTATAGAAAGATGAACAGTAAATTGGCCTCAAAGAGACAACTTAATCCCTCCTGGATATTTTTGCCACATTTCTTTGAAAAGGGGAGATGTGCATCTTTGGGCAATTTTGTGGTTACAAGAGATTATGGAAAACATTTCGCATGTTGTTTGGGAACTGCACAGGTGCACAGCTGTAGGAAAGGAATTCCTACCACTGTGTAAGCCAAGCCTTTGACAAAGAAAGGACAACAGAGGAGGGAAGGATTTGCAAGAATCCCTCCTCCTGAAGAACAGGAAGAATGGGCTCTCCCTTGAAATGAGGACTTGCTCTACTGGCCATCGGTTCTTTCCATGTCTTAGTTGGATGTCCCTGGAATAGACACAAGGCTGTGTTGTGCCACCATACCAGAGACATTGTGTTATCTTTTTATGTTGTTGTTGTTGTTGCTGTTAAACCATGATCTGTGACTCCTTTTTTATTATTATTAATTATTATTATTATTATTATTATTTGTTTGAATGCTTTATAAATCTTTTAAGTCTGTGGATCTGCTGATGTACAGTGCCTTTGCTGCTATGGATCAAAATCAAAAGAACCGTGTAGATAAACTTTATCGTATAGGTAGAAAATTACTTAATTTCATACTAGAAATGGGTTGATGCTGCAAATTGAAATGGACTGTTCATTGAAGTTCCAAATGTGGTAGCAGAAAAAAAAATGGTGTCTTAAGTGCATTGTGTTTGATGTCATTGACAGTTTCGTAATACTCTACAGTGTAGAAAGATTTTGATACTAAACTGTGCATTGTACATAGTTCTAATGCATTGTATTGACCACCAGTACTTCTATAATGGTAGAATATTGTTTGTGCATTCAGACTTTTAAGCATTAAACATAAATAACTTCTAGGATGCTTATTTTTCTAAATTGCTTTATTGGGTTGGTGGGTGAGGGAAGCTACTTGTTTTAACATTTTTACTTTTGGAAGTTGCATAGCTGGTATCTAACATCAAGGCTTCTGTTGGGCAGTAGGTGATTGGCCACAATCAAGCAAAAGTGGTGTAAATTTTTAATTTCTTAATTATCATTAATGAGTGAAAGAACTGTTTTCAGCCATCCTCACCAATAAACATTTATTGACCGTCTTTAGATTTATAAAAGCTTCACTACCAAAATACCTAATGGCGTTTTAGCTGTTCAGTTCTAGGCAAGTCATGAAATAGCTGAGTCACCATTTCTTCATCTGGAAAACAAGAACAATAGCACTTCTGAAAAGAGGTGCTTGTGGATAGAGAGGCAGCCTCACAGCAGTTGGGAAGACCTGGTTTCAGATCATAGGCATTTCCCTAAGCTCTCAGATCCCCCACCCAGCTCTTAAGTGCAGAGAAGGTGCTGGTCAGCATTAGAAGGTTTTTCCTCATTAAGATTTCCTTATACCCATGAAATCACAGGTCCCATTAAAAAGAAAAGAAAAGCAAACCTCCAGTTACTTTAACTGGGTTGTCGTGAAGACATATGCAAAACACATTGAAAATGTTAAAACGCCATGTAAATAAATGTCATTTTTAAAAATTAGCACCCTAATCATCACTCTCAGGAACATGGTAATATGATGCATTTTCCTGCCAACAGGTTTCTAATCTTTTGAGAAGTAACGCCATGATTGTGAGGCTGCCTCCTTTAGAAACGCCAAGCCCAGTTCACTCGGCATCAAGCTTCAGCACAGAGAACATCAGTCAGAAAACATGGGCTAAATGATTACTGTCTGCCTGGCTGCTGAGCTAGGTGCTATGTACACACAGATAAGAATGACCATCGTTGTCCCCAAGCTTAGATTCTTTGGAGGTGGGGTACACGCACAACCAAAATATGTGGGGTCAGTGGCGAGACTTTGGGGACGCTCTGTACACAAAGAAAATGGGAGATGAATTTGCAGAAGTTGGAGGGTGAGAAAAGAAGTAGTAATAGGACGAATTATAAGTGACCAAATGTTTGAGCTGAGTTTCAAAGGGAGCTAGGGATTCTAAAAAGACAAGAGATGAAGCACATTATTTTTTTGGGAAACAGGTTGGGGGCAGATGCAGCTGAATGGGAAGTTGTGTATGAGGAACTGCAGGCATGCCACTTTGGGCCATAAAGTTCATGGAGGGGGAGGTATTTGCAATGAGTCTTGAAAGGTAGGCTGGAGACAATTATAAAGAGGCTGTATATGCCAAATCAAAGGGGTTTGTATTTGATCCTGGAGTCGATCTGAAGCCACTGGAGGTGATGACATGGTCAGATTTCTGCTTTAGAAATGTCTCTGGAGACTGGAGGAATGGAGCTGGAAGACCGTTTGGGAGGTTGTTGAGGTAGTCCAGTTTAGAGGTGATAACGAGTTTGAACTAAAATGATGTTTGTGAATGGAGAGGAGAATATACAGATTTGAGATAGAGAGAATCAACAAGACAGCAACTTACTGGATTTGGGAAATAAGGGAGAGTGAGGAGTTGAGGATGATTCAGGTTGTGAACCTGGATGATGGCAAGGATGGTGATCCTTTTAGAAATAGAGAAGTTTAGAAGAGGTGGGATTTGGTGGGAAAACTGAGTTTTGTGGTGAAAGTCGAGTTTGAGATAACTTTGGGACATGTAGTTTGTTCAAAGTGTCAAATAGGCAGTAGGTGATGCAGAAATGATACCTGGGACAAAGACAGCCTGGGTATACACACATATATACATGCACACTCATCTCTAGTCAATCAGTAAACATTTATTAAATGCCTGCCATGTGCCAGGCACTGTGCTAAAAGCTGAGGGTACAAAATCACAGTCCCTGCCCTCAAAGAGCTTACTATATAATGGGAGAGACATGCAGACATACATACAAAGCAGGCTATATATGATAAATAGGAAATAAGAGTGAAGGCACTAAAATTGAGAGGGGTTGGAAAAGGTTCCTTATAAATGATGGGATTTTAATTGGGACTTAAAGGAAGCCAGGGAAGTAGAAAGTAGAGTTTAAGAAAGACAAGCATTCCAGACACAGGACAGAGAGAATGCCTGGAATCTTGTTCATGGAACAGCCAGGAGGCCAGTGTCACTGGGACAAAGAGCAGATAGGGACTAAGGTGTAAGAAGACTGGAAAGGTAAGGACATTTTATATTTGATCCTGGAGGTGTAAGGGGCCACTGGGATTCTTTGAGTAAGAAGTGACATGATTGGACCTGTGGTTTAGGAAAATGACTAGTGATGGAGTAGATGATGGACTGGAATGGGGAAACTTGAGGCAGGCAGATCTATCGTCAAGTTATTGCAAAAGTCCAGGCATGAGGTGATAAGGGCCTGCACCAGAGTGGTAGGAGTGTCAGAAGAGAGAGAGGGGAATATTTGAGAGACGGTGCAAAGGTGAAATCAGCAAGCCTTGGTAAAGATTGGATACAAGGGCTGGGGGATGAGAAATAATGAGTTGAGGATGATTCCTAGGTTGTGGGCCTGAAGGACTGGGACGATAGTATTGCAATAGGGAAAGGTCAAAGTGTGAATGAAGGTTTAGGGGGAAATACAGTAGGTTCTGTTTCGGACGTGTTTAGCTTAAGATGTCCAGTTTGAGTCTGAAAGGCAGCTGGAGATATAAGATCGGAGGTCCTCAGGTTGGGGCAGGATAAAGAGATTTAAGAATGATTAGCATAGAGATTTTAATTAGATCCTTGAGACCTGATGAGATCACCAAGTGAAGTAATGTAGAGAAAGAAGTGGGCGGAGGACCCAACTCTACAAATACCTGGGGTGTAATCTGGATGATGATCCAACAAAGGAGACCTATCTTCTGCATAGGAATGGTAATTGAACCGATGGAAGTTTATTAGATCATTCCAAGAGGGAGTGAACAATAGAGAAAAGAGGACTGAGGACAGATGCCTTTGAGTAGTACCTACTGTTGGGGGTGATCCAGCAAAGGAGACTGAGAAGCAGCCACACCTGCAGAAGAACTGAGAAAGCAATACCATGAAAACTCAAAGTATCCTGAGGAAGAGATGGATCAGCAGCATTGATGCAGTGGTAAAGAAGGATGAGGTCCATTTGCTTTGACTATTATGAGATATTTGAATAGAACAGTTCCATTTTATCAAGGTTGGAAGCCATATGGGAAGGACTGAGAAGTGAGGGAGAGGAGAAAAGAAGTGGGAGCAATGAGTGCCGACAACTATTTTTGGCTTTGAAAGGGAGAGAAATGTGAAGATGGGAAGGAGCTGTTAGGTAGGTAAAGATGAGAGAAAAAGAGAGGATGCTTTGGAGTGGGGTTGAAAAGCCCAAGTTGACATGCATTCCTAGCACTCATATTTCTTGGTTTTACACAGTGGCAGAGGCTAGGGGAAAGTGGATATAGCTAAATCCACAGTATAGGTGTACGAGGCTCTGAAGACAGAGTTTGGTATTTTATAGTGGAAAAATAAATGTCGCACGGTAACTTGGTCTGGCTGAAATTTTACAAAAATACTTGAGTAAAATTGTCCTTTTTAATAAATTTTGTTGGAGACAAAAAATCAATGAAAATTAGAATAGAGAAGAAAAGGTCTCTTTTTCTGTAAAACTTAACGTAAGCACACCATGCCACACTGGTCTAAAAGCAGGAAGTATCCACGAATTTCTGTGTCAGATCTCACAGAGTTGAACTTAGTCTGGTTTGTTTTCTACTTCAGCTATAAAATTCAAAGATAAAAAAATCACATAAAGCCCCTTTTTTTGAGTAATTTATATATTTGCAGATGTGTCTGTTTAAATAAATGACCAGTTGTGGCTTTTACCATGACAAAAATTCATAAGGTTGGGGTTCCAAGGGTTTTTGCTTCAGTTCTCTCTCTCTCTCTCTCTCTCTCTCTCTCTCTCTCTCTCTCTCTCTCTCTCTCTCTCTCTCTCTCTCTCTCTGTCTCTCTCCCCCTCCCTCTCTCCCTCCCTCCCTCTCCCTCTTTTTTCTTGGTCAGATTAGAGAAGATTGCATCTCCAAATAATTCCTTTAAAAGTAAATTTTAATTGATATTTTTTGTCTTTGTTTCTTGCATCACCCTAGTATGCCCTGTATCCCTCCCTCTACTTCCTGAGAACCATGACAAATGGTATTTTTTTAGAGAGGAAAAAAATATCAAGACAACTGATTGATAACATTGAAAAAATCCAAAAACATGTACAAAGTGTGACACCTGTGAATCTCTCATTTCCGTGAAGGGTTAGGTTGGGAGTGTCTTCTCATGTCTTCATTCAAATCTCACTTGGTCTTTATAACTTTGTTACATTTACTTTTGACTTTTTGATGTTCTTTCTATTTACATTGTTTTAATGACTGCTTACTTCACCCTGCATTAGTTCATATGTTTTCTTTCTATTCCTCACATGCATTATTTCTTACAGTGCAGTTGTATTCCATTACATTGATATACCATCATTTGTTGACCAATTGGCCAATCAGTGGGTATCTACTTTGTTTCCAATTCTTAATTATCACAAAAAAAGTGCTGCTATAAATATTTTAGAGTATATAGAAACTTTTTTTTCTTATCAATGGCTTCCTTGGGACATAAAGACCAGTAATGGAGTCTTTGGTTCAAAGGGAATGGATATTTTAGTTACTTTATTTGCATAATTCCAAAATGGTTGTACCATCTCACATCTCCACCAACAATGTATTAGCATATTTATTTTCTCACAACCCCTTCAACATTGAATGTTGCCATTTTTTGTCTTTTTTTTTTCAATTTGCTGAGTGTAAGGTGAAACCTTAGGGTGGTTTTGATTTGCATTTCTTTTATTTGTGATTAGAGCATTTTTTCATGTGGTTGTAAATATTTTGTAGTTCTTTTGAGAACTGTTAATCATATCCTTTGACCATTTGTCTTTTGGGGAATGGCTATTAGCCTTATGTATTTATTAATTG